AGAATTCTCGTTAAAATAACTAGAATTCTGGTTAGCCTAACCAGAATCACAAATATTAAATATACCCTAACCAGAATTCTGATTGGAATAACCAGATTATTCAAACTAGAATTTTTTTTTGAGTGTAATGTCTAATTTCTATTTTTCTGAACCTTTCAAGTTTAGTGATTAATTTTTTTTCTATAGTATAATTAATTTTATTAAAAATTTTATTTCTTTTTTAAATCAATTCTATATATGGAAGATTCTCGTTGGAAATTTTTGGAATGAGAATTGAGCCCGAATGCGGTTTTTGAAAGAGGCATCTTGTACAGATCCGCATGTTATGTACATACGTTGGCAGTAATTTTCGAAGCGTCATCCGGTCAGATTCTCATCGAGCACGTTCTAGCTAGTTATTCCACACACAGCACCCTCCCTATATATATACCCGTGTGCATAGAGAGGTTTCCAAAGCGACAGGGAACACTTATCGCGTGTATAGTATAGTAACGGTGGATATATAGGAGGATTGGATCCGAGTTAGGTATGTGGCCCGGCTTGTGTTATAGCGTTGCTGCCAGTGATGCCGCTTCTATTCTACATTTCCTTGTCGCCTTTATACATATATATATATATTTCTGCCTTTCGAGCTCCATGGATTACTTATCTAATATTATATTTACCACATTTTGGTTTAGTTGGAAAATTTTTTCGTACGAACATCCAAGGAATTTGGAATTAATTTCATTTTTCGGGTTAAAAATGTCAATAATTAGGAGTTCTACAAAGAATTGGAAGTAGCATAAGTTCATATTTAACTGTTTCTTTACTCTTCTCTTTTTTTTGTTAGGTTAAGCCTTTTTTACTACCATATAGTTTTCCTTTTTGCGCTACTACTAATTTTGCCTTAATTTTAAAATTCCTTCTTTTAATTATTGTACATTTTTTAAATACTTGCTTTACTTGAGTTTTAGAAATGTGAAAATGAAAAGAATTTTCGGTTTTTATAAGGTCATTAGAATAATATCGAACCTCGCAGATAAAATAAATGCATCAGAAAAAACGTGGAAAACAAATGTCAGGAGAGGTTATAAGGAAAGAGAGAAAGAGCGAAAGTACCGTTAACCCCTCCTGAAGCCAAATGGTTACGGCACTGATCCACAGCGATTCTTCCTCTCCTCGTCATACACTCGCGCACCTTCCTCAAAACGCACACGCGGTATCAATATATATATATGTGTATTTCTTTCACACACACCCACGCGGTCAACTCTCTGTAAAAGCCGTGTGTGTCGCAAAGTTCTTCATGTTTCACTACCTAGAAAGTCATTTTCCATCTCGTTTTGCGAACCAACTTGGTCTTCTCTGCATTCTATAATCTGCGAGCCCACACAGAAAATGCGTCTCGCTAAAGAACATTTTATTCATTGTTTCTTCATTTACAAAAAAACTGGCTTAAAAAAAAAGAAATCTAATTTAGTTTTTCGATTTTGAGTTCTTGGAAACTTGTAATTACTGTGACTTAGCAGATTTAAAGAAAGATTAAAAGAAGGATTATTTTCTGAACAATTGAAATTCTCTACTTTTGCTCTCTCTCTCCCTGTCTTTTTCTCTTCAGTGCGACTGATATTTTGAGCTTAAAGCCCAGGATCATTTCTATACTTTAATCACCTCTATATAGTTTGAGAGACCGACATTGGACTTAAGAATCAGGTTTTAAATGATCAGTGTTAAAAACTCGTTTCAGTAATAAATGATGTTTATAGCTTTGATATGTTGTCACCGGTTTGACAAAAAAAAAGGGAGAGAAAATAATTAGATACTCGACTAATAAGATGAATTGGTATTAAAGTATATATAATTAATTCTAAAAGTGGTCCTTTGAAAACTAATTTTTATATCAATAATAATTTTAGTTTCAATGCATTTATATTTTTAATTCATTTTAATTTCTTTTCCTTAATAAAAATATAACATCTAGGAAGCAATTTGTCATTGGAATTATAACATGACTTTTTATCATCAGCGTAGGCCTTCTTTTATTTTATAAATCGATTATTGGAAAATTGAAGGGAAAGTGATTACGCCATAAAGTGGAAGGATGTGATCAATTCATTATAGTTGAATCCATTGGGATTAACTCTTTTCGTGTTTCAGTATGAACGTGGCTTTACTCTCTTGCGCGAAGGTCGATGTATTTCATGATTCCGAACAATGATTCATAGTCTTACGAGATATTATTCTCTGGCGACAAAATCACATGGAAAATTTTATTTATACTTTTTCAAAAAATAAAATCATATTTCCCTTTATAGAAATCATGTGTAAAATAATTATTAAAATCGTTTTGTATAAATGGAGGGTTTAATGATTTTGAATCTCATCATATCGTTTTTGATAAATCAGGGCATTTCATGTTTGATGAACAGACTATTCGACTAAAAATAAATATGAATAAATGTGCGCAGCTTATGTGTAGCTTCTTTTTGATAACCAGTTTGATTTGTGGTTTGAAGGATTAAAACCAGTTTGATTTTTGTGTCTATATAAGCGCAACCTTTGCGTTATTTACTGATTATTGATGGTAATTGAAAAGACTCTGCGGGATGATTTTAACAAAAGATATATAATATATAAAAAAAGAAACTTTACTTATTTTGCAATTTATTTATATCGTTTATGAGTTATCACAAATTAGAAGTGATGACATTTATAAATTAAAAGAGGGATATAATAAGGTATGAAAAGTTTGCAAATGGAGAGCGCATATGAATGAATTATTAAAAAAAAACAGTTCATTTATTTCGAACAAACACTGAAAATTCAATATTTGTTGCCTCGTGTATAAAAAAATATTTCATCTTATAGTTTTCTTGAAATATGAAAAATGTTCACTCGTCATAAATCTTAATGATGACAGATATAAAGAAATTGCAATTGCTTTTAACTTTTATGATATTTATAAATTAATAATATTTCATATGATTTATTTAATAATTTTCTTAAAATAACCAGAATTCTGGTTATTCTAAAAGTCATTTCCAGTATTGTTACTCGTACAAATTTTTAAATGTTTAACAAAATTTAGAAAAGGTTGATAAGTTAAATGCTTTTTCATATCCTGCTATTAAGAATTGACTGATGTTAAAAAAGACCATTATTGAAGAGAGAGAGAGAGAGAAAGAGAGGAAAAGCGATAAGCCTCTTAAGAAAATTGAAAGTAGATCTTTCTGTATAATATTCAATATTGGAAAGATTAAATTTTTTTGGTACTGATCAAATATGGTTTGCTTATTTCGATATATAGTTATAGTTTCGTATCTATAGACAATGTAATGGATTTTACCTATAACGTTGGATCGGTACATACATGTAATTGTCGATGACGCGTGCGCTGTAATATGGTATATATACATGTTCTCTGATATATTGAGCTCTCTCTCTCTCCCCTGTTATTGCAGGAAACACAAATACTCCATTTTAACTGTGACTGTCTTCCTTTCTGCTATTCGATAATAAACATTCCATGTGATTGATCATTGCGATCAATAATAATGATTGGTGTTGGATAAGGAAAAATATTTTTTTGGAAATAAAAATCTACTCTCTTTTTTTTTATTAGTATACTCTCTCCAAATCGAGTAGTTTTCAATTTTTGGCTGATATTCTTTCGACTTTACAGATTGTACAAAGGTATTTTTTATATTTCTTATCAAAAATCGAGTATGACTCTGGCAATTTTTGGTATTCTTTTCTAAAATGTTTCAGAATTTTCTTATTGCATATAAGATGCTGTCTTTAAAGATACGGAAAACAGTAGATAAGGTATGACTTCTAATAGTTGATAATTAGGAATATTGAAATAGAATTTGACGAGAATTGGTGGGTTCTGTCGACGTTGCATTGGGCTTTGGCTTCCTTCTATTCGCGCGGTGGGTCATTCGGTTATTTATGGCACTCGCTATGCCGCGCGGTTTGAACGACGACGAGCTGCGACGAGGGGTTGAACGGAGTGTATGGCCGGGAAGCGGTTTTCAGGGAGGTGGGATAGAGAGAGAAATAGTGAAAGGGGTATGAGGGAAAGCATTGGCAGAAAGAGAGAGAGAGAGAGAGAGAGATAGAGATGCCAGAAGGTAGAAGGGGTTGGCCAAGCTTGTACCGCGTGTAGTGAAGTCTATAAAGGAGTGCTTTATTGATCTCAGTTTGAACGCGCACATAGGATACCGATATAGTAGTTCTATAACGGTAGCTTTCTGAATAAGGGGTTCTCCGACGGTATCCACCGGACGAATTTACATCGAATAGGCACTTGAAACTTTGAACCTGGGTTACACTTTCAGAAAAAGAATATACAACTTCAATATATTTCAAGAACTTCAATATATATCGTTAAATCACTTAATTAATTGCAATATTCTTAAATTTCCTATAACAATTAGGATTTCAAAATTTCATTGGGTTTACCATTCTATATATAAAAACTGATATTTCTTTCTGTTTCAATGATATTATAATTTGCATCTATTGTGTTTAGCTCCTATAATGGATTTTAATTGGAAATACCTCGTAAACAAGTGGCAATACTAATCTCAATAATTGTTTTGGATTCCTATTGCAATTCTGCTTGAAGCTGATAATACCCGGCTCAAGTGACTTTAGAGAAAATAATGTCAATTTTCTACTGTTTTATATATATATTATACTCATGCCAAATAGATTTGCAAGTTGGCTACAATTCAAGAGTGTATATTTTACTGTTAGATTATAGTTTTGATCGTTGATTTCGCGTATTTTATCGTCAGGATACATATATAACATGTTTGGGAAAACAGTTTTGAAAGTGACATCTATATAGGTAAAATCGGATAAAATACAGTATAAGCTTTCTATGCAAATTATCCCCTCTTGTATAAACAAACCCCTCTTTCGAAATACATATATATTTCTCAACCTGTTGACAAACTAATTAAATATAATATTTTTTCACATATTAATTTTTTATTTTTTTCATTTTACAGATAGAGAAGCAACATCTGGAAGAATAATCACTCCCAATTGGTGAGTTTTTAACGTTATTAATCTTAATATAAATTAATATTTAACTCTATATTGATAAATCGCGAATGATCCAAAGAATCGTAAAAGAATTTAATTGTATTCTGTTAGTTGTGCGAGGGAAAATTGTTTGCATATTTGTTTCTTTTTTTTTTTTATTTATGTAGAATTCGTGCGATTCATTAAACTGCTCTTAGAAAGCTTTCCATGGTCTAGGTCACCGGGTCAATCGATGAGGTATATAGGGTTATGCATTGCACCTCACTAAAATAGTTAAATAAAAAAAAAAAAAAAAAAAAAAAATTGCCTATTTGTCATAACAATATTAAATGGAAACATTTTCTTTGATAAATACCATATGTAAGCGTTTCCTGTACGTTGTGTACGTTGACTACAAATTTACAACTGTCCGTGATGGTAATAAGCTCTAATGAGTATTGAGGATACAATACATACATACTACTCTTAAACGCGCACACACAATCTCTTGTTCGAAGGTCAAAGACATGATATTGGCAACCAAGAACTGCACTGCGGTTTGAAAAGTGTTATTGACGATAAAAGTAAAGTAATAAAATTCGATGAGATACACATATGTGTGTGATATGAACCTTGTGCTACTATCCTAATCATCAGCGTTCTAAAAAAGGTGAAAAAAAAAGATTTCTTTACTTTAATGTCAGTAATTTTTCTTATCCTGTATCAATTTTATATAAAATCCAAATATGATTGATATAAATAGTTTTTTTTTATTCATTGGCAAATTATTATATGGAATTCAATTGGGTCTAATTTTGATTTACAACATAAACCTCTGGTACGTGATTGAAAATGTATTTAATCTTCAATTATTGACCTCGGCTGCAAGTTGATTAGCACTTACTGGTCTGATATATTGTGTATAAATTTTGTGGGATCTGTAACCTATTGATTTTTGGTTCTATATATTTGCGACATTAGGTAATTAATATTGAGTAATAGGTACCCTTATATTACACAATAAACATTTTGGAAATTAACAATATGTGAACGTCTGGTTAAACTTCGATTACAATAAGGATTATATTCGTTTTAATGTTAAAGCAAAAATAATCCTTATTGTAATCCACCTTTTCAGGAGGACGTTCACATTTTAGTAACTTTATAGTTTCTAACTATCGAATAACTTTTGAGTATGATCTATTTGATAGCTCTATTCTATGTCACATTATCTAAATTCATAAGTAGCTCATCTCTGATAAATCCCAATATTACAGGTTAACTAATGCAATTAAAAAATAGTTATTAATTCATTTTTCTTAGAGGAATAATTTGCCGTAGTGATAGATTGTTACTTTTTTTTTTTTTTTTTGTCCGATTATGTGTGTTCTCTTCTCGGTTGACTCCCTTTTATTTCATGTGATCATTCACTCGCTTCCCTAATACAATTCTCCCCTTATATTCTTCGCATACGGAATACAAACTTCTCTCGAAGAACGAACGAACCAAACGAGACAGACATCCTACCAAGAAAAAACAAAGAGAGGAAGCCACAAAGATATCCAAGCTCCGGTAAAGTCAAGATAGAGGATAGAATAGAGGAGGTGGTGGGGCAAAGAGGTCATACAAAACCTCAAAGGGAATGTCTCCTACTGAGAGTTGTGGACAGAAAGAGATAGAATAAAGACGAGGGCGAGTTAGGTAAAGGTGAGAGAAGAGGGGTAAAAATGCTTATGGGGGGTAAAAGGGACAAAAAAATAGAATGCAAAAAAAGATTGTACGGGTAGAGGCTCATCGGGAAAGATGGATTATAGGTTGACGAGAGAGAGAGAGAGAGGAGGTTACATGAAAAAAGGGCGAAAAGAGGAGAAAAAGAGCGAGAGAGACAGAAAAAAACGGAGACGGACAGATAGAAAGTCCATGCAGTGTGCCAAAGAGTAGTAGCGCGTGCTCGCAAACTCTGGCACGTCCCTCTCTAGCCACCCTTCAACCCCCCTCGCTGCCACCCTTTTCTTCCTTTTCGTATTTTCCCCTCTCCAATCTCCTCTCTCAACATTCGCCCTACGAAAGGCCGCCGCGTGTATAGTGGCTCTCTCTCTCTCTCTCTCTCTCTTTCCATTTAATACCCGTTCTTCCATTTCTCCTCCCGACCCTTTTGCGCTCTTCTATGTTCCTCCTCACGTTCCTCTCTTCCTCTTGCCACTGACGCTGCTGGTTCTTCCTTTCCCTCCCCCTCAATCCCCGAATGCCCCTCTCATAAACCCTCAGGCAACTCTTCAGAACTCGTACGACAGCAGCTCGGCGATTATCTTTTGTCCGATCATATACGTTGCGCCGCGCATGGGTATACGAGAGTTTTTTTTTTCTCTCCTTTTTTTTCGGGGAGGAACATTTTGTCGAAAAATCATAAATACCCCTCTCATTGATAATTAGAATTTGTTGACGTGATTGCTGTTCTATAGAAACATTATAGTTAAGTTGAAAGTATCAAATAAATATTTACTTAAACCAAATAATATTTATTTAACTGTAAAAAGAAAGTACCGATTTTAGAACCAAATGACAATTTATTACCTAAAGTCGGTATTAAATTCATTCGTTTTAGAGATAAATATATATTTATCAAAAAAAAAAAAGTAGGGCATATATTCGATATAGTTTTTTAATTTCGTTTGTATTTCAAAATTCATGGATTGCGTCCACATTCGCACCCTTAAGTGGGTACGTTATTTTAATCGGATTTTTAAACGAGTATAAGGTCACAAGAGTTGCGCGCAGATGTATGTATATATGAGGAGAAGAGAGTACACAGAATAAGAGAGAAAGAGGGTGGAAGGAAAATGAATAAATTATATCAGTTGAAACTCAGGGAGAGAAAGATTTTAATCCGGTAAATGAGTTGAATAATGATTTTTAATTGCAGTTTGTTGCAAAGTATTAAAAAAAAAAAATTCATAGGAAATTATTTTCTTATTTTCAATTAATTTAGCATATATTTAAAAATCTATCCATGTAGAAGAGTGTAATAAGAGAAATCTATATAAAAATGTATATTATTGAGGGGGAAAAATAGAGGGCAAGACAATCGTCACGCCTTGTTGTTATCGAAGTCGAGAACGTCAACCTTCTCTTACATTATATCTTATTTATTTCTTGTTTTTATTATTTACTTTTTTTCCCAATATTTCTTTGCGTCATCAACGTTTTTGTATGTATATATATATATATATATATATATAATACAAATTTGCATGAATTAAAAAATATTCTCTTGAGATGAAAAAAATGTATTTATCAGTTATATGTTCCTTTGACGTAGATTGATCCGAGAAATGTGAATATACACCGCGAGAGAATCTTTTGATATTTAACTATAAAGAAAGTCCGAGTTTCTCGTATACAGTAAACGCAAAGGCCTGAAATATCGAGCGTCTTGGCTCTATTTTACACAGTTATATAGATTCACCTACAAAACGCTTTTATTTATCAGGAATATTCTTTTTTTTTTTTTTTGTCGGAAAACGAAATTTCGAAACAAGAAAAATTCTTCTCTTTATATATTCATGACTTTCAAATAATATCAAGATATATTTCTTATCAGATGACAAAACACGTTTGGTCATTCAATCGTCAGTTGTGCTAGATAAGATAAGATTTAATATATTTATTTATTTCTTTATTTTTGAATTAGTGAATATTTTATCTTATTTAAAAAACCTAATTTAGATTTTCATTTAAATTCTTTACATAGAGAAAATTTATCTTCAATATTTAGGAAAATTTTTGAATAATTCAATAATAAATGTTTCTGTGTATAGGTGTGTATATATTTTGATACTTGGGGTATGTAATAATATTTTAGTGGATGAATATATTGCAGTAGCAAGTTTTCCTGGTTTTCGCGCACCATGGCCGAAGTCTTTTGCGACAGAGTTGGAAAATCGTTCGTTCACTAGATTCCACAAGCTGGCCAAGAAACTTGGCACCGACTCAAAGCATCGATTCTCCTCCGCGCGCCGGTCCACCTTTACTTTTGCATTCCCCTGCACGCCGAATTACGGGTAGATTTCGCCTCGGGCGCACTGCAAAAGCGCCCCTTAACAGAGTCTTAAGTCGTCACTAAGATTATCAAACATACCGTGAATTCCAGAGAAATTTTCCCCCCTCTCCCCACTTTTCTTCTTCTTTTTATACCCAAAAGCAATCTAATAGAGAGAGAGAGAGAGAGAGAGAAGGAAAATGGGAAAAGGATTCGTGAAAAACAATTATAAGTCTGTCAAAAGAATTTCTTGAAAAGTTTGTAATAAAAATTATTTCCACTTATTTGAAGTTGAAATTTTCCTTTTTGAAATGCGCAATTTCTTTTCTATTTTCTTTTTTTTTTTGGGAGGGAAAATTGATTCTTCAATGATCGGAGACCTTCACGGAATGATGTGACTCAGTCTCTGGAATTTCCATTCTGTATATACCTACCTGACTGGCTAATTTGCTGTAGCATTCTATTCAAAGCGAGGGGCTGATCACTCACGAGTCGACCCGACGTTACAGACTTTACTTCGTCTTAATTCGTGCTAACTCGCACTATTCGTAGTTACTCGGGCTATTCGTAGTTACTCGGGTTATTCGAAGTTACTCGCGCTATTCGTACTGCCTTACAACGAAAGAAAACCCATAAGCCACATTGTCGCTTCAGTCGCTTTTTACCAGTGTCTATATACAGAACTCGACCAAAGCGACAATGTGGCTTATGTGTGTTTTTCCGTTGTAGGGCAGCGTAAATACTCTGAGTCGACTCTACTTTAGCCATTCCTATCCACTCGATTGAATTTTGGCCTTATTATTAAAAAATATTTATAAACTATTAGAATATGTATTTATTTGTAATTAATTTTCTAATCATATTTATATTTTAAATTGATTATTTTATTATTAAATTTATTAGTTAGTAATAATTAACATAATTAATATAATATTGTCTAAATTGTTGAACCATAAAATTTTTTTATATGAAGTGGAACGCCAAG